TGGGGCGCTGGAGCGGAGGCGGGGCCGCTGCTGGCAGAGCCTTGGGCGTTAAGAGAGAGAGAGAGAGACCCCCTGGTTGAGGCAAGCAGACCCCTCTTCTTGTCCCTCCACGTGATGATGGAGTGAGTGAGGGAGACGGAGAGGGGAACATGGGTGGGCTTGGTGGGATTGGTTGCTCGCTTTTGAGATTGGTTGGCGTCCGGAAGTTGAAAGGGTATAGGAGGCGAGAGGCATCACAGATGTGCTGGTTGAGTTATAAGAGGTGGAATAATTACAGACCCCTGAGCCTGAGACAGAATGTTCTAAGACCAAAAACTTTGGATGTGACAAATGACTTGAAGCAAAAAACATGCTGCTACTTCCACAGCTCAGCCAAAAAGAATGTAGTTGGACCTACCGGAGAGTTGAGGGCATGTTCCTGCCACAGACGAGATCAGACGAGTGAGTCTGTGTATGTCTGCCATGTTTAGCCTATCAAAGGCTTTTGAAACCCATTGTCCAAGTGTACAGGTAGTGACAGGTGGTCTTAGGTCACAGGCCTGTCACCCAAGGCCTTGGCCAAGTCTGCCAGTACCTTACACCCTTCCGACGCCTTGCGCTTGCTCCATTCCCTGGCGCCACTGGGCCAGCCGAGCCCCGCACTCCTGCGCGCCTTGGCCGCCACGCTGACGACGTCTACCGAGCAGTCGCTGCCCAGTGGCGCAGCGCTGCTGCAGCAGGTGGGGCCCGGTGGGGTGGTGGCACGAAGAAACAGGACCGATCGACCCGATCCATCTATCGTTCGGTGCTTCGTTCGGTGCTTAAAGCCACCCCCAAGGCTCGTTCGAAGGTTGCGAGCGGCCACATGATGTGTTCGCTCGGAATCTCCCCAGATGAGTTTGGTCGGTGATGGATCTGAGGTGTTTTGGTTCAAAGGGACGGACGCCCATGGGATCAGTTTTGACATGAGCGTTCTCATGAAAACACGCCGGGAAATAAAGCACACCGCTTTAAACCACCGTGCAGTTTTGCGAGAATCACGTCCTGGAAGCACAGTTAATCTCTTAATCTATCTTAATCTGAAGGATTTTTTGAGCACCTAAGGATGACATGATGTGAGAGAGGCCGCCCCCCCCAAAAAAAGTCTCAGCTGCTTCAGCTGGCGGTCGCCCGCCTGCACGATGTGGAGCTGTGTGCATCGCTCAGCACCACCTGGCTCGGTGTCGACGCTGCCGACGCGGCGCATGGGCTCGAGACGACAGCACGACGCCCGAACTGCAGAGAGAGCGAAGATGCGCTTGACGACACGTGACCGGATGATGAGAGACACCGGAACGTTTGTAGGCCCCTGCCGTGGTTTTAGAAGTGATTCAGGTGTCAACATGGATTGATGGTTGGCTTATATTTCCCTTATGTGTTTGATGCGATATTTGTATTTTTGGTAACCATTTTGTAACCTTGTTTCAAGTGCACTGGCGGGCTTTTGGGACATTATGACCACACCCTGGCAGGTGTCAGCCACAATCCGAATCCTTTCAGAGTGAGAGCCGGGATGAGTACTGCTGGTTTGTTGGAGAAACACGGTGGACTTGTTTCTTGCACGACGACCTCTTGGGGTGCAGGCTTTGTTTGGTATATTTGCCTCCCTGCTGGTGACCGTGGCCCGACCTTGGGCGTCACAAGGGGTCGCCTCATACCAACTCTTGTGCCCCTCCCACAGCCACAGCCTGCTAGGATTGGTGGCTGCCTGTGGCCGCTCCGGAGCCCTTGGCCCGCTCCCTCGCTTGCTGGCGCGTGCCAGCGCGACATCCGCCAGCATGCGTGGAGCCTTCCCCTCGCACGCCTGGCCTGCGCCCGCGCTGGCGGCAGCCCTGGCAGGATTAGCAGTGGCGCGGTTTCAGCCACCCAAAGTGGCTGGGATTGAATGAGTATAAGTCATGAATAGTCCATGATACTCTCAGACAGCTCCAAGTGGACACCCACATGGCTTACAGAAACATGAAAAACGTTCACATCGTCCAGCCTTGTGTAAAGTAGTGTAAAGCACTCCAAACTGCGAGCCACGGCCCAATTTCCGCCAGCATGTTCTATCACGCATCCCTGGATGGATGGATAGAACCCACACTTCCAGCCACCACCTGGCAGCTTGGCAGCTCATCTCTCCGCCAGACGGACGACCAACCTGGACCCACCATCCTTATGACGTGATGCCACCAGGAGCTGTTGGAGATCGCCACGCAGCTGTTGGGCAGTGACGACGGTCCTTTGGACGTTGCGGTCACCTTCTCCCTGCTGATGCCACGTGGCACCAACCAGTCGCAGTCGTCGCAGTCGGAGTGTGGCCACAACCAGACGCGGAAGATCAGCGCCACAGGGCATTTTGGGGGGGGAAGCAGATGCTTCGGAGGAGGAGCACCGTGACGTAGATCTGTGGGGCCCAAAGCTTGCCTGAGCAAGGGGTGTAGAAATTATAGTTTGGTATTGTAAGAGTGGCATGCCATGTGGTTTTTGAGTCCGAAGCTGCTGAGCCGAGTGGTTAAACCATATGCAAATGTTTGTGGTTCCAACATCCTGCATGATTCGATCATCATCCCACATCTTCATGATCATCACATTGACCCCATGGTTCTTTCACCCTGCTGACAGTTCCCTAGTTCCCCTTTCCACTGCCTAGTAGACCATCGCTGTCGCTGCTCAGGTCACTCTGGTGCCTGGACGTTCGGCTCGAAGCTCTCCGAGCAGCGGAGCTGCACTTGGTCTCCACTCTCCACGCTTCGCAGCTTTCGCCCGGGGCGAAGTTGGCGTTGCTGGTTGGACTGGCCATGAGGAGCGGGAAAAGAAAGCAGAGGTTCATCGGGCGAGTTCGTGTTGGAATATCGGATGGGGGAGTCTTTTGGAATTGGATTTGCAGAATGGAGTTGCATCAACTTGCCGCCTTGCTAATCTTGAAGGAATTGACCCTGGTCATCCCTGGTCCATGTTCAGGTGCTTGGAGAGCTTCGTCGAGGATTCTGGTGCTTGCTTTGGTCAACCCAGTTTGGTTTGGTAGGAGGATGTAGGAGGCCTCATTCGGAGTTTGTTGGGAGCATATGCCAGGCCCATTTTGATCGGATACTTCAACTCTGGGTGATGAACGTTCGTCGCTCCATATAAGATACTTCTATAAGGTCTTCTAAGCAATGGCATCCAGCTTGACTATCCTAAGGACCTCGTTGGGAACTCGCCAGCCTTTCTGTTTGGGTCGCACAGGCGGGGGTCCTCCAGCCAACACACACCAACTCCTGGGTCCAGGTGGCCCGAGCTCCGCGTGTTTCGGAACAGCGAGCGTTCCGGCAGGATCCCACTGGAACGGTGGCCGGCTCAGTGGGGCGGAAGGGAGGAGTTGGACCTCTCAGAACTGCAGTGGTGCGAGCCTTGGCAGCAAGAATAGCAAGAGCCTAGGAGCAGCTACAGCCAATGCGCGAACCAAAGGGCGGAGGAGTTGGATTAAAGGTTTGAGGAGGATTGCGATTTGTGATTTGTTCTAAACTTCGGGTATCCGTAACACTTGTTATGCAAGTGACTTGCGCTTTGTAAGTTCTGCTTGCAGCAATTGAAGCAGATAAAGCTCCATCACAGTCTCTCCCCCCCCAAAAGCATCTCATGCTGCTATACTCCGTATACTCACTATAAATGTTTTTGTCAAAAACGCCTCCTATTAAGGACCCCCAGGACATCACCTTCGGCTACCTCCGTTGCCTGGCACCCTCCTGGCCACTTCTCTTGGCGCACTTGACCGACTTCGGTCCATGGCTGGAGACGCCCTTCCGTCCACAGGTGACGGTGGAGACGCTCCGCGGCAGAGACCGCGACAGACGGCGGCCGGTGCAATACGTCCTGGTGGTCAATGGCACACGGAGGAGATTGTTTGGACAAAAGTGGGGCACGCTTGGAGTTTGCTGCGGATGGAGCTGCGGTTTACCTATGCCACAAATTTATGTGTATAAATCAATGCTTATGTTTTATGTTTGGAGTGAAGGCCTTTATCGAGTGTCTAAGTTCACCTTCAATGAAGCATGCAACTGATTGATCCAGCCTGATGTGATTCATCCAGCCTTTGAAGGGCTTTGCTCATCATCCAGTCTCCGTGCAAAGGTACCATCAATATAAATATATATAAGAAATATTGTACTTTGTTTCTTACCATCCACTTCTGACCACCTTTGGAAGATGTGCAAACCCATCCAAGTGCTGTTTCAAGAGATCTTCCATCCATTTGCAGCACACATTTGTACTTGAAACGCCTATAATGTCAATGCTTTGTTTCATGTTGCCGGTCCGCAGATATTTTATTTCAATCGCTTGGCCGGCACGTCACTGACCCTGGTCGCCGCGGTCATGGTTCGGGCACCCCAGGCAGTGGAGATGGCAGGGAGAGGTTTTGGCAAGAACTGGTAAGAATGCCAACCCAAAGTGTTTAACTTCATTGGAATCTCCTGGCTTTTTTTTTGGGTTCTTGCACTTTTGTACTGGATTGAGAGTAGATGGTACAATCTCCAAGCTTGGTAATTTAGTAGTGGACCCCATCTGTCTAAGACATGTTGGTGCCTGCGCCATCGAACCTCCGAATTGGAATCTCCCTGGCTTGGTCCACTCGAACTTCAGAAAGGTTGAAAACTTGCAGCTTCAGTCCCAAGCTGGGCCAAGCAGAAGCTGTCAGAACATGTGAGGATGTTTTCACACCTGCCCATGCAGGGCCCGAGGGGTCTGGGAACCTCATGAATCTTCAAAACTTGGTACTTGTACTCACTGCTCACTTTAGGGGACCGGGAGACACATACACAGATCCATCAAGAGGACCGGAAGACATGCTGAACTTTCTGTTGATAAGCCTGATAAGCAATAATGTTTGGGGCCGGGGGGGGGCCAGAATGGTCTTGGATTTGGAGCTGCCATACATTGCTATAAGCTGCTATACCACATATATTATAATGTAGTTCAGAACTATATGGGTCATGACAACCATGGCAATCACAATCACTCGTCGCACCTTTGCGAATCCATGCTAATCTTAAGCCGTCCGCTAAGGAGAATCCGCAGCTGACTGTTCAATGTGCAGGGGGGCCCAGCAAGGTAATTTGCAGACCGTTCCCAGCAGCGGCCATGGCAAAGTACCCAGATTGCGAACAACCTGGTCCACTTCTGCTCAGCTCAAATTTTCTGCTCCCCAACCCACGGGGTTAAACCCCTCAATGACTCTTGGTCACGGACCACAAAGCCAAGCTTGCCTGTGCTTCCTAAAACACTAGAGTCTTCAAGCAAGAGTTCGCTCCTCACCTTGAGGGACCTTAGAGGGAGTGTGGCAGTGAGAACTGTAGATAACCTCAAGTGGCTCGTGACCCTTAATCTTCAATATATAGGTCTTAAGTTGTGGCATATGCAGTTTTGTTGAACTCGCACAAATCCTTTCCTGCTGGTCGTTTTCTCACGTGTACACTGATTTCACCACCGAAAGCCCAAAAGCCTGATAATAACAATAATGATGGAATAGGTCTGCATAACCTCCCCCCCCCCAAATAAACATCCGTTTTCCAGGCACTTGGCGCGTTTGTACCATCCACCGGAGCTTGTGCAACGGGGTCTCCTCATCGCGGATGACAGGTGGGCGCGCTGATGACCTACATCGGCGCGCGCTTGTGCCATCAAGCCTTTGTGAAGTCGATTGAGGTCGGAGGAGTTTGGGGCGATTCCCCCCCTCGTCTTCCACCCCTTGGGTCTTCTCAGTCCATGTTTGGGGAGGAGTATCCATTTATCAAGAGTATCTATCTATCTATCTATTTATTTATCTATCTATTTATATTTATATCTATATTTGTCTGTCTATCTGTCTATCTATCTATCTATCTATCTATGTATCTATCTATCTCTCTCTCTATCTATCTATCTATCTATCTATCTATCTCTATCTATCTCCCTATCGATCGAATCTATCCAATCTATCTAATCTATCTAATCTATCTAATCTATCTATCTAATCTATCTAATCTAATCTAATCTAATCTTATCTTTTCTTTTCTTATCTTATCTTATCTTATCTTATCTTATCTTATTATCTATCTATCTATCTATCTATCTATCTATCTATCTATCCATCTCTCTCTCTCTATCTCTCTCTCTCTCTCTATCTATCTCTCTATCTATCTCTATCTATATCTCTATCTCTCTATCTATCTGTCTATCTATCTAATCTATCTACCTATCTATCGAATCTATCCAATCTATCTATCTATCTATCGAAATAAAGCGGAACGAAGCACACCGAAACGATGCACACGCGGCACACGCGGCTCTCGGCTTCGTTCGGTTCCATCAGATCTCGGCGACGACCTTCACCTTCACCTCCGGGTGTCGTGTCCGAAGCAAACCCAGTCGTCCAAACCCCTTCCCCCGGTTCGGGCGTGGATTCTGAGGGGCGATCTAGAACTCCTACTGACTTCGCTATACTTGCTTCGCTGATATAAGATTATATAATTACCCAGACGCTCCATGGGACTGCCATATATGCCTACATTGACTCCCCAAACCACCCCAATGTAGGCATATATTCCATACATGGAGTGTCTGGGTTATTGCATTTCCCAACCATATGACACCATGACCCACTTCTTCAACACCTTCGGGTGAGTGTGGCAACCAAACCGGACGGCGCAGCCAATCCCCAATCGGCTCGGCAGGTGTGGTACTCTTCGCCCGCCAATCGACATTCATACTTCAAAGCTTTCAAGGAGAAGCTTTTGAGTGCTTCGATTGAGTCGCTTGTTCAACGACATCTGACGACCGTCCGTTGGGGAATCGTCGGTTGTTTGGATGTCTTTCAGTGGGGGCCAATGGCAAGTGAATGGCGTAAAAGCAGCCCTGAGAGAGACGGTCACCTCCCAAACTGCTGCAGATCCGTTTGCATTTGTGGCTTGAACAACAACGCATGTACTACTTGGGGCATGGCAGTCACCCTTTGCGATGCCAAGAGGTTTCAACATGGAGAAACCATGATAGAATACTATGAATCGCTTTATAGAGCATTACAGACATGGGGATGCAACTGGGTACCCAAAAACGCATGAAAAGGCTGCAGGTCGCAGTCCCCACTCCTACCCAGCACGGCGTAAGCTAGTTCACTTCATAGGACCTTTGGCCGAGCCAAGCCAGATCGGGGACTAGACATGGAGAGAGGGGAGTGGAGAGCAGTGAGATCGAATCTATTGGGTACGGTATATCGAACCAAAGTACATGACATGATGTTTTGTATGGATTGCCACTGAGTGTGCCTCAGTTCCCAAGTACACTGGCCGTGTGAATTTGCTCAACTACGGTAAACCCATGTACCTCGCTGGGCTTTTAGAGAGTGGCCTATGGCCGGCAGAGGAGCAGTACATTCAGACGGGCAAAGCGGACTTCTCCGTGGACGGCCTCAGTGGACGAACCAAAGAACTCAGGACGACTCGATGGTGGACGAGTGCGCGTTGACCTCGAAGCGAGTCGTGTGTGTTTGGGACGTTGCTGTCAGTACCCATACACGACCCATGGGACTGCCATATATGCCAATCAATTGACCCCTCACACCACCCCAATTGATCGGCATATTATACGGCAGTCCCATGGAGCATCTGCCGGTGAGGAATTCCATGTGGTGAATCACCAGATTCTCTACACTCCCTATCATGGTTATGTGGACGGCACCCTGAAAAGGATGACGAAATCCGAAGACCAAACAGGTGGTGAACTCCGCTTCCATGATTACTTCAAGGTGTGCATGTATACCGATAGATAGTTGTATATAATGTATACCTGTAAGCTTTTGACAGGAGAGGATGTTTGTTCATTGCCAGTGGGTGCTTGTTCAGTTGTGTGGCGTTTGGCTATCTCTGCAGGTGTGATATAGACTTTCGATTTTACACAATTCTGCCCATGAAACAGTGAGGGATGTTGCACGGGTAGCTTGTTGCCGCAACCCTTTTTGCTTGGGCAGAGCGTCCTTCAAAACGCTTTCGGTTCATACTTTCATGACCCAAAGCCCTAGTTGCTAGGATCCTCTAGTTGAAACATCATAACTTTTTTGAACCCAGTTACCAGTTCTTCAGGAGTTCTGCAGGGCCTGCCATCAGGGCAGTAGGTTGGAGGGCAGGATGCGTCGTCGGAACATGATTTTCATCCCCAAAACGGCGTCAACCGATGTAATTCGATTCAATAGAGAGTCCAAGAAAAAGCAACTTCAGTGCAGGCTTGCTGCTATTTCCCATGCAGCCCAGGAAAACACCTGCGAGACGTCAAACCGTTGATCCTGGCGTTGATCGTGAGTCGACGTCGATGTCGACGTCGTCGCAGCGATGACGACGACTCTGAGGCCTTCATGAAGACACATCCTGAGACCATCTCTCAGACCTTCGGCGATGAGGCTCGACACTGGACGGGGACGCTAGTGGGGACGTGTCCCTTGGACAGGGACTATGGGGGAAGGCTTTCTTCCGGTGAGAGGCGAACAGGTCAATGAAGCTTCGCTTGGAGACTGGGTGCCTTTCTTCATTTCCTGGTCTCTTTTCGCCAGCTGTTTGTGCACCTAATTAAAGACCTTGGAAATAGCACCGCCAGGCTGAGCACATGAAACGTTCAGCCAACCTCCCAAGACTCAGACATTTGCGCACCTGACTCGCCCTTTTGTCCGCTTCTCTCGCGCTCATGTGTTCAGGCGACCTCAGAGGGACAGATGGTGAAGGCTATGGTGCAGCCCAGCGCCGTCGCCATGGCTGTAGGTGCACCGGCGTTTGTCCGCTCGCGCGGTCTGTGGCGTGGTGGCCTGTCATTGCCCTGCGGGTTGGGCTGAGAAGTGGTAGGGCAGTGCAGTTAGCAGGGCATCGCAGGGCACAGAAGTGGCGTAGGCTCAGACCTAGAAGTCATTTTCCCAGTTTTGTGTGTGTGTGTGTGTTTCTCAGGTCATTCTTTCCTAGGCAAGTTGGCAAGAATACGTTGGTCCTCTTTGGGGAACGCGGCTTTGGTCACGATCTTGGATTGTTGTGATGATTTTCCTTGACACGCATGACTGAAGCTATCAAGCTACCATGGACCATGCCAGTGGATGACAATGTCAGGTGGCATCATGATGCGCTGCGGTGGCAATTCGATGTGGGGGTGCTCGGTGCGTAAGGAACACCGACCGGATTGCTGCATTCCTGGCCCCCGACCGGATTGGTGCGGCAAAGGGAAGCCGAAGCCGGTGTGCGGTGTGTGGGTATCGGTTGAGCTTGGAAAAACCCACCCCTGACCCACCCGTGTAGAGATTGGTTTGGAAAGGGTAACCATCCACTGAAAGTCAGAGTTTGGAGCTTCGCCCTCTTCCAATACATGCCCCTATAGTGATTGGAAGATGGTCCAGGGACTCAGTGATTCTGGATGAATCCTGTGTGCCCGGAAGATTTGTTTCATCAGTTCATCTCTTCTTGGGAAATGACTTATTTTAGAATATACTTATTTGGGGGGGATGGCTCACATCACAAGAACCGTTTCAGTGAAGGAATGTGCAGGCTTAAGCCGGGATCCACAGGGTCATAGGTACCCTCAGTGGCATCATCATGGAAGTGGAAGACCACCTAATGCTAGAGAAACATGGTCATCCAAGGCGCCATGCCATCCACATAACCATGATGATTCCGGGGAGTGTGTCTATTGGGCGAAGGTTGGGTGCCATCACATGCTTGGAAAGAGGGCACAAACCAGAATAAGCCAGTTGCTGGCCTGCTTGATTTAGTTCGTGTCTATTTGTGCACAGGTGGGGCTACCTCTTCCACACCCTGCGCGGCATGATGACTCCCTTCGGTCTGCTGATGGTGCTTCAGACGCACGGGGGCATAGAATTCCAGAGCTGTTTTGGCTACTCTACGTAGACTATTTCATGTAAAACTCCAACTTTAGCTCATGAGCCAAACCCAGATCCTCAGGTTCTTCAGTGCATTCACTGTTCATCCAATCATTTTTCTTGGATCCCAACAGCTTGCTAGAGATATACTGTAGCAGCATGCTCAGCTTTCAACCAAACTTCTCGATGTGTGTTCTGATACTCCAGGCATTACTGTAAGACTTTTGGTTGATGGGAAGAAGTCCTGGGACCGGTTGGACTGCCCAATTTGCTGGGGATGTACTTCGAGGTGCTTCCTGTGAATCCCGTTTCGCTAGGGCCACTAGGGTTTCAGACTGTACTGTGCAGGCGTCCAAGCACACCAATCAGCAGCTAAGGCCGGTGGTCAGTGGAGCTGGTGCTGGAAACAAGGAGTTGCAGTCCCGGTGCTGGGGTACATGCAGTGCTGCCAGACATTGGCTATCATGCTTGTGCTTCCCTGCCCCTAGACCTGTCACAGTAGGTGGAAGCCTGCTGGATTTGTTTAAAAAAGCCTTGAAGCATTCATTAACACCTTCCATTTTTTGAGCAGTGCTGAAGACCACTCGTGACACTTGATGGCTAGCTCCTGGATAATCATACACTTTCCGTCCATTTGAGCTGACGTTGTGCTCAGCCGAGCTCCCGCGCCTCATCGCGCCTTGTCATCTCGTCACCTTTCATGGCTCGCTTCGTCGTTGTGGCCATCGCTCTTGCTGCTCGCGGGGCAGCGGCTGCGGCAGACATTCTGCTGGCATCCTTCGATGGAAAAGCTAGCCACCAGTGGAAGCAGATGAACGACCCAGTGCCCCGATTGAGAGTGCAGAGTTAAGAAAAGTGCTGAGTGCTTTGTATTCAGAATAGGCCAGTTGTGTTGGAGTTGAAGAACGAACCCACCCGGCAGTCCAAATGTTCTGGTAGGGCACCGTAGGGCAGCTCATCAACCTTCACTGCTGCTGTGTTGGGGATCCCAAGCAGGGATGCCATTCTGACAAATGAGTTACTATAAAAACATCGTAAAACATCTTTAAACAAGAACATACTAAAGCCATTATTATATAATTGTATGAAGTTGAGAAGATCTTGCATCAGATACAATTGTTTATTGTTGTTCTGTTCCGTAGGTCCTTTGAAGCAACATACCGGTTTGGGATTGGCACATGTTGACCACCACTGAGCTGGTGGAAAGCAGAGGTATCACTTGTCATATGTTTCTTCAACCCTTACCTGGGATGATTCATTCATCATTCATCCTCACTGGTGCCTTTTGCTCCCTCCAGCCGACGCCACATCGAGTGAAGCTGACGCCACACCGACCCGGTGACCCTTTCCCCCTGAGCCTCCTGACATCTCCTGAGTTCACAAAGGTGATGGGTGGCAAGTCGACCGGCACCTTCAGTGTGGCGTCGCTCGGACCAGCGCTTTTTAAGTATGTGTGTCTCGTGGAGCTTGGGAGGTTTCGGGCGTTTTTTGTGTTTGGTGGTAGTGTTTTGTAATGGTTTTAGGATCCCACACGCACTACCAGGGTCCTCCACTTCTTTACATGAGCAGTGTTTGGATACTTGTTTCATTTTGTGTTGAATTATCATGCAGTATTAGTACTTCTTTGCATAGAATTGAATGCATCATCCCAAGCAACCTCAGAAAACCATGGGTCAAAGTCAACGAAACAGAGAAGCTACAGGATGACTCTAGCAGTCACCGGTAGTGATGCACAAGTTCTCCCACATTGAGCCATGCCATAAACCCACTTGCTTGTAATGAGTAAGGGTCTTGTTATAAGAGCTGGGCGCGTAAGGAAAACACTGCTCAAGCTTTCCACCAGCAGCTCCATTGCTCTCCAGGAACAATGTGGGCATTTTCGACGGGGAGGTCGTGGACGTGCCTTTCCTGAAGGCTCCAGGCTTCATCAAAACCTCCGTGGTGGATATGATCCTCGCATCGAATGAGAAGATCAGAAGGTAGAAACTCTCACAGCCGGACGGAACTCACAGCAGGAAATATGGGAGGGTTGAAGCGTAGAATAGAATTCCGTTGATTGTCTTGGAACCCAACCAGTACAATGTATAGTTATCCCAAATTGGTGTAGAAACGATGCACCCGGAGTCCTAGCAACTAGTATCAGAATCAGCTGCCCTGAGCAAGGGCCCTTTGTTGTGAGGTCTTGTTTGTCGTTCAAATCGCTGAATTACCAGTGGCATGTGCGGTGTCTCCTCGGAATGCTATGTTGGCCCCCCTGTTTGAGCTACCTGGCAATCATGTAAATCCCCCTACATGCAGAGACCGTGACCGTGCCCTGTGCCATGTTTCTTTGTCAAGGCTCCAACATGTCCATACACCAAATCCCTTTGTACCTACTACTTCGCAGTGAAGGGCCTGTGGGACATGAAGCGCTTGGCAAGGTCTAGCATCGCCTTACTGTCTTCTTATATACCTCCTTTGCTCGGGAAGCAGAAAGAATCTTGGAGGCTAAGAAGGCAGGTGTAGTTATACAAGCTGATGCACCTCTTTACTCCGGGAGAGCTTTGACCATGGATGGTAGGCCTCTCTACTCCGCCCAGCTTCCCCAACTCAGGAAGCCCTTCACACGAATCTTCCCGGACATCTCCGCCTGCAAGAGCATCAAGCTCGAGGCTCGGGGCTCGGGGCTCGGACGTCGGTGCGGGGGGGCTGAAAGGTGAGATGAAGAGGCACCGGTCAACGGCACATGAAGGCACCGGTATCCACGAAGGCACCGGATCCTCCAATGATGTTCATCGGTTTCTTGGTATTACCCAAAGGTTGTTGCACACCATTGTGAACCCCTTGTGAAGCGTGGAGCCACAACCAAAATCCAAGTTTGGGTTGTTGGCGTATCTCCACAACCCTGTAGTTGGATCGTTTCGGGCTTTCGAAGGCCATGCCCTTCAGTGCATAGCGGTCGCTCCATAGCGCTCCCCCTCTGTCCAGGTGAAGTCTGACAGTGACTACAAGGGCTACCGCTTCTCCATCGGCAACGCCCATGCGCCCGGCGGCAAGTTCTTCGCCTATGGCAGCTTGGTGCAGAAGTTCTTCGAGTTCATTGAGGTTATGGGCAAGAATATGCAAGAACATGGCCCAAAACCAGCCTATATCCTATACCCTACGTAGATCGAAAAGTGCTCCTTGAACATGTAATGGAAGTCGTTCTAGCAGGTTCTAGCTACTGAGGGACGTCATGACGTCCCGTCCACACAGCGGGCTTGAGCCACCTGCCCAACTTGTAAGGCTGGCAAGGTTCTTAGCCTGAACAAGGATGTGTGTGATACTATATGAAATTTACGGGCGAGGGGGGGTGTTGAAGTTCTACCGGTATTGGATTGGATTGTTGTGTGGTGTTCAAGTTTGAGGAGTTGCTTGTGTCATATGTTTTTTTTTTTAATTAACATGGCCACGGACCTGTAAAAAAAAAGGTTTTGGATGAGGGCAACTCAAATTCACGGGAAAGCAAAGCTCTTGTTTGGGGGGACAGGTGTCATCATTCATCCCGCTCTAGTAAAAAGCACGGCCAGCACGGCTGTCTCATTTGCCTCCGACTGTCCCACCAACACCGGAGGCTACAAGTCCAACTTCAACGCTGGCGCTCCTGGCCAGTGGACCCTTGGTCTCTATCAAGACGCGTCAAGACGCGGCACTCGACGAGTTCGGGGATCAATCCCAAGTCATGTTGTTGTCGAGGTCGACCATGTTCAGATCTGTTCGGTGTTTAGGTAGCTTTCTGGGTGCCATGCCTAAGCCTGGTGCATGATCCCACCAGGCTCTCACATGTGCAGAGTGCTCTCTTCGGTTGGTTTTGGAACCACTGCACGGCCGGTGGCTTCGAGGACCACGGTGACCTTGCCCTTGTCGGGCTTCACCGATTACTGGGACGATGCCACTGGGGAAGCGATCAAGACCTGCCAGGAGAACAAGATCTACTGACACTTGGCTGTTTCAGTGAGGTTTGGTTTGGTTGTTGGGGGGGGAAGCTTTGATACTGCATGGTACTACTTCATGTCTAATATCTTCGTGTGGTGCTGCTACTCTCAGCCGATGTTGTTTTCTATTGTTTGTTTTTTCTACTGCCCGCATGACCATCCGAAGGTCCAAGGACCAGGATGAGATACTAGTACAGTGGTCACTGTAGAGGCGCCAGTGGTGGTTCCCTCTTTGGATTGCATCCTTTCAGCACCTGTAGTTGGAAGTTGGTGACCATCGTGCTTTTGTTTGTTGCTTCATGGAGCCCCGAGCAGGTTCCCATGCGAGAAGTCATCGCCGTTTGCTTGGTCCAACGTTTAAAAGGCAGTTGCCTGGTAACCACTGGTGAGTGGTAGAGGGACAAGAGGCTACAAGGGGGGAAGTCTTTCTCGAAATCTAAACCGATCGAAGTTGGGCTGGTGTTATGTTGGTACTCGTAGATGGATTGTGCTAAGATGAGTTCGAGCATTTGTGCTTGGTGGCGTTCTTCTGTTTTGGTACCGGGAAAACAATGTCACCAAGCCTAGCAGGTTACTGTTGGTGGTCCAGGGCCTAAAACATCATTTAAACACAAAAATCAGTGAACCTATAGCAGGTTACTGATTGTGCAAGGAGCTAAAAACATCCTAAAACAACAACATACAACAACAGTTTTGCAAAACAACAACAACAGTCATCCAAACCACCGTTTTTGCGAGACGGTTACTTTCCCATGGATGACTTGCGTGGGCCTTGGAAATCGCCAAGGCCCTGATGTCAAGACTCTACAGGAGCAGGGCCGGTGTCGATGTGAGCTGTTTGTAAATGGTGAAGGCACATCATGGTGGTCCCCAAATATATAGACAGTGGCACGGTTTCCAAGTTTAATTAACGGATTTTACTTTTCTATGTGTAATCCATCTGGGGGGGCTGTATAGTATATCGTGTAATGTTCTGAAGACAACCATTTAAGTTCGGATCTCTAGACAGACTGTAATACCAGACTCGTGAAATTGGAGCCTACGGCTGTCATAGAAATTTGTAATCATCTTAAGAATTGAGGTATGTTGCTAATAGAATCATCTCAATCACAACGATAATAGCAATGACAAGACTAATATGTGGGATGCTGCTTCAATCCAAGCTTTAGCCCCCTTGAAGCGAAAACATGCGTTTTTCTTTCTTTCCTGCCTTGTAGCGGTCATTGCCAAGTTAATCCTAGCAATGCACCCGCGTCCCCATATTTCTCGGGAGGACATGAGGACCATGGGCTTTTGGGCAGAAGGCGTGGCAGGCAAGGTGCACCTGGAAATCAAATCAGCCGCTTGGCCGGGTCAGTTTGGTCATTGTGACTGGAGACTTTTTTGGGTCACATAATAGATAGACAAGATGTTCCAGAATAAGTGCTTGAAGGAACACCATTTTCCTATTTGGGGGGGGTCACTTTAGATGTTACAGACCTGTAGGATGTTTGTTCTTCCCACACATCCTTCGGTCATGCCCTCGCTCGTACCACCAGAGTGGGTTTTCCTTCGGCAGTGGCACCCCAAAACATGCAGATCTTGCTGCACGTAGAAGAACCCTCGAAGATCCCGTCCCTACTGACTTCATCAGTCTGTTGAGACTTGATGTAGAGGAGTTTTACCAGAGAGGAGGGTTCTCAGGATCAAAGCCTTCAACAGACCTGTTGGACATCATAGATGCCTTTGAGATCCTTTGAGTGGATAAGATATGATAAGATTCTTCTACTATCCTGCGAGCGATGGTGTACCGGGTAGCTGGTGAGTATTTGGTCAGTTTTGTCAGCACTCTTGTCACCAACATGCAGAAAATTGTGATGGTCACTGGGACGAACATCAGAATCACGAGAACGCTCATGGCATGGTGGGAAGCCCAGAGACTGCGTTTTGGGTCCACCGGAGCCAGACTGCTGCGACATGTCTTTTGTTCATCGCTTGGAGCATCAAGGATTGCAAATAACCCATCAGCGGTGAGTTGTTTGGCAGCTGAGGTCATGGCAACCGACTGCACTTCAGACATGGTGGTTTGAGGTGAGTGAGAAGTGGAGAACATGACCGCCACGACCCGTTGCGGGAGTCCAAGTTACGAGAATAGTGAGGCAGCTCGGACGTTGGAGTCAGGCAGCTCGTCACCCGATGCTGTTTTGCCCAGTTTGGATGATTTCCCGAGAAGGGCCAGTGGGATAGAAGTTTGGGGCCCTGAGCCTTCGAACATGTGCTTTGACTAGGCATGAAAGAAGGGCTCCACTTGCCTTTGGATGCTCCAACCTGTGGTTTATACAATCTTATACATACCAAGAGTATCCAAGAGTTTTGTCACCTTGCTGTGGCCAAGAGGATCCAGAGGCTAACACCCTTCCCTTTTTCGGCGCCCTCGCCGTGTGGGGCAGCCTCCCTGGGAAGCTGTCCACGACGCGCGAGAGCTGCGCCCGCCGTACAGCGACGCGGCGTAGTCTCCCTGCCTTCGCTGAAATTCGGACGAATGGCTCGGGTGGAGTGGACCCAAGAGCTACAGTTCGATGGGCTTGTTGGGGCCACACGGACCGCTTGAAGGCAAAAAGCGCGGCCACATGGAATCTCTGAAGTGAGCCATCCATCATCAAAATTTGACTCAATTGGCTTTGGTCCTAAATCATTTTGTGTGCACTGTAAGACTATAAGCCATACTGCCATGCCACATGGGAGCGGTCTCACGAACAGCATAGAGCGCGAAACCCCAAGCAACGGAGTGGAAAGGACGCAGTAGTGCCTCTTTAACTCTTTTGATAGTTACAGTAAGTTAGGTTCTTGTTGCTTCACCTGTTCGCTCAACCCAAGTTTACACCAGACCAACCCAGACCGTGCAGAGAAATTAGGGCACGTCATTTCGCGGTGTCAGGAGATCCGCGAAGGGAAGAAGGTCTCCAATATCGAATTGATCTACCAGTGCGGGTTCCCAGCTCGGCACAAGGGTAGAACCATGGTAGGCCAGCTTAGCTGGCCTCATAAGAAAAGGCCGTGTTTTGGCCACAAAGCGATTGGAATGCTGTGAGGGAAGATCAGGTGGATGAGGGTCTACTCGGAAGCTCGTCGATCATCTCGCTTCTAGTGTTTCCTTGCGACATCTTGCGACATCCCTTGGTGTTCTTGACAAATCTGCTCAGCAGATTATATACCCAAGCCTGATCTGATCATTTAAGTTTCAAATAGTTTCAACAAAGATCCTGTGCACCAAACGTGTTTACAGGAAACATCAGGAAACTGCATGCGCGTATGCCTCCCTACTGTGCTACCACACGATATATATATATATGTGGATGTGCAGCTTCTTTATGGCATCATGGCATGGAACCCATAGGAATTTCACGAAACCCAGGGCCATGCTGACCCATGCCCACCATCGCCTCCACCAGCACATCCCCTTGCCGGGGCTGATCACATCCGGTCACATCACCACGATGTAAGCTGGGTAACCTGGCTTTAACTCCCCTCCCCTTTCACCCCAAAACGGCCTTCTCCTCCTGCGCCGAAAGCTGCGCAGCGCCTGCCGCCTGCCTGTGCGTCAAGGCTCAACTGGGTGATTCTGCACTTCGTGGGCTTCGCCGCGTTCCTGGGCCCCGCTGCGCTGCCCTCGGCGAGGGGTCTGGGACGTCGGGTCTGCGGGGAAGAGGCGAACGACGGAGGCGACGGACGGGGGACGAGAGACGTGACTTGGGGGGAAGATCGTTTGGTTGGCAGATCTAGGCACTTCTGGGATAAAGTACTAGGATGTACTAGGCAAGAAGATGGACTTGGTGAGCTGCAAAGTTCCCTGCTGTTTCGGCTATTTGTGCTTTCAATTAAAGACCAACCAGACCTGACGTGTGTTCATTCCAGAGCCGGCCCTAAAATGTGTTCGTGGTGATGCCCAGCAGATGCCAACCTGACTGATCATATACTGCACTTAAATTGTTGATTTGGAAGCTTAATTAATAATTTTTGCACTTGATTGCCTGTTTGGTGAGCATCAGCTCCAGTGTTGGAAGTGGAGTAGCTATGTGTTTGAACAGTTTTCAATGGATTTGAGGATGCCCAGGAAGGGCGTTGGACTTCCGGGCACTTTCTCCCAAGGTCATCATTGAGCTGCCAGTGGCCATTTATGAGCTTCTCACGCACCAAGGCCTTGACACCGGTTTGTGGCATTTCACAGAAAGAACGTCATAACAGATTGTGGATGATTGTGGCTTTTCTGGGTAACTTAGCCCAGGCGATCCATGCATGGAATATGTTCAGTAGTTACATTAGGGTCACATATGGGGCAAATGATGGGTAAATGTATGTAACTTACATGGAGAGTTTATGTACTGTCATGTTTCAGGGCCTAAGCCCTAGTAAATGTTTGGAGCTGCCAAAGGTTGCAAGGAAAGGCTTTGATATCAAGTGTGAATACTATTGCATTGTCTTGACACATTTCCTGAGTCTCATGGGCACTGTCGATGACCTTTGTCACTTGCGATCATGCTGAGTCATCTTGTAAGATCTTTATATACACCAGCCAACCCTCGCCTAATGGATGCTTTGTGGACGCACGTCCACGCGCCATGTGTTTCTCGCAGGCTCAGGCGAGGGCATGCACCTTGAGGCAAGATGAACTTTGAGTTGGAATTCCCATACCTTGTGCATCTGGATCTATCAAGTGCTGATCCATGCTTTCACTCCAAGAAGCTGAATTCCCATACCTTCGGCCATTTCTTCGCACCAGGCAGCTCGACTGGGCCTGGCAGTGATGCGGATCATTTGTGCCATCCTCTTGGTGGTCTCAGCGCCTTTCCTGGGCAAAGAGAGCACCAAGACTGGGCGCCCAGCTGTCCGCGCCAGACACCGGAGAGCTACCGTTCACGCCGGCGTCCCGCGCCATGTGTTTGTCATCATCCACCAACCCCGGTGGTTTAGGGTTTGGGGTTCATGAAGGTTCATGGGTTTTGAGGCCTCAATGATTGCAGTGCTACAGGCAGCGGCTACTCTCTGCCCTCAGGGAAAAACATATGAGCGACGGACAAAATGATTGGTTGACTTATTTAGTCACGGCATGACCCTAAACCTATGTTGAGGGCTTCGTTTCTGTGGAAAACGATATGGTCCCCACCAAAAACGATAATCTTGTTAAGACGTACTGTAGTGGGTACAAAGACGTTTGCGGTTACAATATGTTATTGCATTTGCATGTTTATTTGAGCATATTTGAGCTAAACCGATGGGCACAACTTTTCACCAATGATAACCCCAGACAACTTGCCAAACGATAATCCAAACGATAAGCAAACGATAACCTAAATGTCACGCCAGTCACTCCGTAGACCTACTTCTCCACATTACTAGTGACTAGTGTTTGTTCATGGGCCGAGCTACTAGGTCCCCGCTTATGTGTTGTGATCCTTGCACAGCCCAGTGCCACAAGAACCCAAGTGCATAAATCAAGTGCTGTGCCATTCCTGTGCAGAAAGCACTGTAAGCCTCTAAGACTCTAATCTGAGGTTGTGAGTTATATTTTGTGTTTTTGTCTATGTGCCGGTATGCTATGCTAACTGCGGTTTGGAGAAACATTGGAGAACGATATGGACCCCACCAAAAACGATAATCATGTCAAATGGTATTTGGCTACACAAGTAATTTTGTCCGCTGCTCATATGAAGATGTGGACGTTTGGATCTCGAATACGCTCATTGCTGGACTGGACGCCAACTATTTAATATGCTTATAGTTTATGGATGTGTTTTTTTTTGCACGTTTTCGGCGGCTTAGGGTGTGAGTGATCTCAGGTGGATCTCTCTCTCCCAGATGCGGTGAGGATGACAAGCATAATTTTTTGCCTATCCAGGTAAACTCCTCTTGCTGCTGCGTGGATGTGCCCCACCGGTTCGGGTCACGGGACAGATTTAATTTTGGGTTGTCCAGGACCAAGTCGACTTCACACGAGGACCCACTTCTTCAGGGTTCACTTCAGGGTTCAGCAATAATTAGTTCATGCACCACGATTGCTAATAGAATCTAATAGATCTATAGATCTATATAATGGCTTGAAATTCTTGAAGCCTGGCTTATTGGATCTTATTAGTTTCGCTGCTCGTTTGGTCACCACCAGCATCCACTCAATCATCCGCTCAGGAACCCCAACTCCCTGGGTGCCCTTAAATGGCGCGCAGAGCCGGGCCTCTCAGAGCACGGAACCCGCTGCGGAAGCCGCTGCGGAGCAGTTGGATGCCCCCGGGTTGGCGGTGTCTGCTGTTTCGATTGACAGAGCGACTAAGCGACGTTGTTGTTGTTTTTCCGAAGAGATCGTCCAAAAAGAATGATCAGTGGATGATCAGTATAGGTTCGTGATTGGAACTGATTTGATAAAGGAACTCAATGAGGAGTGAATGCGTGATTTCCTGACTTCTCAGTCTCAAGTGGTGATGTTGTTATTGTTGACTATCCGCAGTATGTCCAAGGCGGTATTGTCATACCTAAGAGTCCAAGAGGCTCTAAAAAACCACCTGGTCCACCGGTACCTCAACCCGTCCAGGTTCACCGTGGGCGAGTTCGGGGCCTGCCAGATGTGACCTGACCGAGATGGAGAGTGGGCGGGTTTCGAAGGGTTGAAGGCCACCACCGACACCAATGAGGACACTCAACTCGACTCAATTCCACTCAATTCTTTAGTTCAAGAACATTCAATCAATACATAATGTTAATATGCATATATCATACTTGTGTAAGTGGTTCAGGTTGCACTGTGTTTTTTTTTTCAAACAATTACTGTAGTTCGATTGGTGGATTCATCTCCTCATCCAGACCCTGAGACTCCTGGATGGGCTTCATGGACATCTCTGAGACATCTCGCAGAGATCTCTGAGGTACTTCAACGCGCTGAGCGTTTGGATTCAACCAGGCCACCGGCGAGAGAGCGACGCGTCGCATCGCGAGCGAGATAGCGACGCAGCGCATCACGGCTCCACCTCAGTGGGTCCCATTGAATTCGTCACCGTACCGAGCTGGTGAAACAGGAGACGAGCTCAACTCTGGGCTTTGTCACTGATCCCAACCTGAACAGATTGTTTTGCAAAAGATCTTATGACTCATGACCTCTTATGCTAGTTGAGTGGTGTTGGCATCTATCAAGTCTAACTTGGACCCATCCAGCATGTTCCATGTTCCACCCTTTGGGGCATCCGGATCTCCTACAAATTATTTGGGGCCGTTCCTTAGAGCAGTTGCTTGGGGAGACTCGACACCTGCAAGGTGCCAAGTATAGCTTTGCGGACCTGGTCCTGTCGTCGCCTCAGTGCGAGGTCCTGTGAGCAAAGCAACCGAGTCGTGAATCAAGGGACCCACTTCCCCCCCCGGAGCAAACATGGAATCTAGAAAAGCATCCTGTTTGTAGAGGAAAAGGGTCTTCCTTACGGGGCCATGCCATCCACGTAACCATATTATATAACTCCAGGGGCCTCCAGGGGGGTGTATTGGAGAGCTCCCACTACTGACATTAATGATTATAGTTATTCCAGTGTTGTTTCCATCATGCATCCTTACTTACTTACCTCATCAGCACATGTCCATCACCTGCCAACCCAAGAAAACACACTAAACACCCTAAGCAACGTTCTGAGTTTCTTGGGGAAGCAATCGCCTAGGCCGGCCTCGAGCACGAATTAGTTGTTTGATAATGACTGGATGACTTTGATTCATTCTCCCCCCTCTGAGGATCATCACCGGTCATCACGTCCCCATCATCACGATCCATAATCCTTTGATTCATTTCTCCCCCTCTGAGTCTGAGGGCGTCCTTGGAATCCGGTTCAGCACCGGTTCGGCATCAGGTTGGGCCTTTTGGCTGCCGAAGCCTTCCGCATTTTCTTCGCGCACCCACCTCGGGGGATGTATGCGTGCTGGCCGGCTGGTGGTGAATTTGATGGATTGATGATTGGTGAGTGAGTGACTGCCTGGGTGAGGGTTTATGAAGACTTGAGACCAACCATAGAAGTCCAGAGCCATAACGTGATTGTTTCTTCTTATTGACGCAGAGAGAGAGAGAGAGAGGGAGATATCAATCAGAGAGCAAGTCAGGTGGACATTCAACGCAAAGGTTTTGCCAGGCCGCCACATGCAAAAAGAAAGGAATCTCAAACGGTCTTCTGACCAACCACACCAAGGCACGCAGTTTTCTGGTTGGTCTGTGGCTCAGTGAGGGCTGGACCTGGACGATGAGCAGCTAGCACTGTCACACTAGTAGAGATTGTTGAAACATGATAGTTAAAGCGTAGCTGGAAGCATGGTATTTGGACCCTCTAAGCCCACCCCAAACACCTTCTAACAAGGTCCTTGGAGCCCTAGGGATAATATATAGTATATACATCAAGTCCCTGGTGGACTGTACATCTGCATCAGCAGCGGGGAGTCTTTTGGACACTCTACATCGACGGAGTCGTCGACTGCATCGGCAGTGTGGTCAGGTTACCATGATGCGATGGGACAGCATTGACTGGGCACGATTGATGCTGCTGGTCGGCATGAAGGAGCAGGTGTAGTAGCAGTGCTGGATTGTATGACCATGTTGATCTCAGTCATTATTCTAGAAACAACAGGAAATCACCATCCTAGCAGGGACATTTGATAGCTGATAGCTTTGTAGTTACTTGAGCATGATCCCCCAGATGTGATTTGACTATTCATACCATGTGTCACTGATCATTGTTCAGGCCCATCAGAAGCCAGACACCCATGGCCCAATCTCATCTCACATGTGCCAGGGTCAGCATGGTCAAAATCAAATTCTATTTGCTAATCTTCAGGCCCAATTTGATGCACAATCATAGTTCTTCCACAAGCATTGGGCCGATCCCATTCCCACTACTACTCTACCATGAAACTGAGGATTGATTCACCACCTATACCTTGTATAGTAAGTTAGTTCAAGTACCATTGAATCAATCCGATGCCCATACCTGGCACAATAAAACAATATAAAACACTTGAGGAATATTCGATTCTGCTGAATTCATGGAGGACATAGATGCACCCTCCGCGCATGCTCTGAGGCAACTGGAAATTCCTGCCCAAGGATCTGGGCGGGGGTTCCGGGCAGAAGAAGTAGAGGTCGTGGTGGCCCCAAAGTGGATAAAACAAGATGAATTCATATGAAGTCCATCCGTGCGATCCAAAGCGATCAGATCACATTATGTCTAGAAAAGCTTGGTGTTTCCTATATAGTACACCTCTCAAAACCATTGGTGAAAAAGATGCAAATTGATGATTCAACTTGCAGGCGGCTGGATGCAAGCCACATATTCTTCGCCATGGGAATGTGTTTTTCTTCACCACACTTTCTGAAGGCCATCCTGATACAGAGAAAGCATGACTTCACATCATTTCAAGAGCGCTTCTCCGCACAACACTCGCTTCTTTGGCAAGGACCTTTGATGAAGGCTCTACGTGCCAAGACCGGGAACGAGCTCATTCACTTACATGCTGTCCAGGCAGCTGCAGAGTTTCCACGCGACATCGAGTGCGGCGAGGTCCACTTCATGTGGTTCCAGTCCACGTAGGTGTGGATCTTTGATCAAGGTGAAATCGAATCCGGATCAAGGGTACAAAATTCAAGTGTTTTCTTTTTTTTGCACAGATTCATCCTGCCTTTGGTTGAACATCACCATCGCAATTCGGCTTCGTCTTTGGGCAGATGCAGGCAGATGCTTTTGTGTTTTCAGATGGTCATTGTGGGGTCACGCCCACACGCTTGAAGCGGGACTTCGGACTTCGCCATTTTTTGTCACAGGCCGGTGTGCCAGACTTTAGCGAGGCCATTGTGAAGGCCAGGCAGCTGGGCGGGGCAGGGTGGTTTCTTCCAGGAGCTGAAGGAGCAAGGTTTTTTTGTTTCAAATGGCCTCCCTCAGGTTTGACTCAGATCCTAAAATATGCAAAGTGCAGATGCTCGAATGGCGGTGTCAACATGTGTCAACTACCTTTCTATATGCTTTGTATCGGTACTGTGGAAAAGTATGTTGGCACCAATGCCTGGTCAGTTTAGGTAGATTGAACAACCCAGGAAGAAATGGAAGACACGATGACTCTCCGAGAGGAGTGCTGATGGTTCATGTCGACTTTGCGGCTTTGCATGATCTGAACGCGCCAGTGCTGCATCGCTAGGGGTCAAGCTGGGGGCCCCTTGTTGCTTGCTATCAGCTATCCTGGGCGACGAGCCCAGAAGGAACCCCCTCCAAACCAGCATCCAGTTGATTCTTCGATCATTCGATCTATACTGTGGTTGTTTGACGTTGCAAAACCCAGCCCTTGAGGCATCCACCTACTTGCCGGCCAGCATGGTGGCCACCGGTTGCAAATACGAGAAGACCAGGCACGTTGAGCCAACGTCACATGTTGGGCCTTTTGAGCCAATCAAGGCTGAAGACCTCCAACTAATAGGTGTTGGTTTATTTCCATTCTTCCACGGGGTCTTTTAGAGGTTGTCTTCCTATTGTCAATACATGGACTCGTGGCAGGTGTTGATGTGAGAATCTGTGAAAGCAGGTAGAAGACAAGTTGCCAATCAGGATGGTGAACGAAATTGCACGCCACCAGAGAATGGGAAGCGCGTGGGCGTGTGTGGGCTTTGCAATTGTTGGGCTGTGAAAGTCTTTGGCACCAACTTAGACTCATGGAAAGTTTGCCCTTTTCTTCACTTCTTTGTCTATGCTTTGACCGGTTGTTTTAAACTTAGAATCTGCTTTGGGTATTTTGGGGTGATAACTATGATATCTTATTCATAGCATCTCAGCTAAGCTGCTTTGTACTCACGTTGTGACGCTGACTGGGTCGCCCAAACGAAGCCGCCACCCCGCCCGGCCGTTCCAGGCTTTTGGTCTTCAAGCCGGACAACTACGAGAACTTCCGGGCAAGACAAATGGGGAGAGGTCATGGGCTGTACTAAGACCATCCGGACTGGAATATATGCTTGCTGCATTGTGACCCCTTTTTAGACATGGCAATGGGGTGTTGGGTAGAATAGAAGCTGATTCCGAGATGTTTTCAGAGGGGATCTGTTGATGATAGACTGTTCCACCGATTGTGGGGATCACTATAGCCAATGGTACAAATTTAGTCCAAGTTGTCCTTTTTGAGCCAACTGAAACTGGTTGTGTATCATGACTCGTTATTTTGTTTGATTGGTGGTTGATTTGTCTCATTTTGTCTAATCATATACCCCTTCACCTTCACATCCAGTGCGGCAACCCAGTTCACCCAGTGCGAATCGGCAACAGCAGCGCCAAGCGCCTCGATTCGCCGATGTCGCACCTCCAACCGCCCGCGTCGCCGTGCGGCGGACGACGCTTCGCTCGCTCCCTGCGTGGCCGATCGGGCAGGCGATGGAGTTCGTGGACCTCTCGGAGGAGGACCTGGACTATTGGAACAACGACCTGCACCACGGCGGCACCCGGTTGGTTCTTGGTATCCGTTGGATTCCGTTTTTCTTCGAGCGGGCCGGTCGAGAGGGTGGAAGATGGATGCGAGTGACGCGAGTGTTCTTGAAGGTGATTGAAGCTTTACTTAAGAGAGACGTAGGAGGGATATGATGCGGAAAAACACGGAGACTTGCACCTAACCTGAGAGAGATGGAGATATCCGTGGTTTGGTGTGGATAGTTGATGCAAGGGCCGCACTGCATGCAGAATGCAGTGCAGAACCTATTGCACTTAGAAAGGGCAGTGCAGGCACAACAAGCAATAGCAAACTCATGGATTGAGGGGAGTTGGGAGTTTCATTGCTCAAACTCAACGCGTTTCAACTTTTGAAGTCGCCAGATTTGACCCTTCACTCCAACCTCGAACGAGTTGTACCTCACAACCTTGGTCCTCAGCGTCTGAGAACGAAAGCATTGTCCACATTGCCCTCGACGGACACCATGTTCTTCCCCTTCGGAACCTACAAGTTGGCGCGGAGCCCAGCTGGCACGCCTCAGTCCCTAGAGTGCTGGAAGTGGCCCAGCACGGTGCGGTGCAGATACCATTCAGTCATAGACATGTTCCAGAATCAGTTCAAAGCCAGAATCTGGCATTTCTCACTCAGTTCTGCCGTGGTGGCAGCACTTTCGTCACAATGTCATTTTTTGTTTGGTCATTGGTGATGCCTTCAACTTGAATGATGTCGCAGCTGCTGATGCTCAAAGAAGACCTCAGCATGAAAGTTCTACACGAGCAGAAGACTTAGAGCCTGCCAGCAAATGGGAGCATTTTGTGTGCTCACATGAAATTCAACTGTTACACTCACTCTTCCATATTCTTGGTCACCTCGGTGTGGCACCGAGCCAAGATACGCATTGGTATTCAGTCAAGACCTGCCAAGAAGTCTAGACCGGCTATTATTCAATATGTGTGTACTGGGCTTGGTGGGCCAATGGCCAAGGCATGCCAAGGCCCAATACAACCTGAAGGCACACAGAAACGAAGTCTAACCTGGAAGGGAGTTTGGCACAAGCACTCGACAGAGTGCAGAAGCCGAGTCTCAGGGAGCTCCGAATTCCTTCAAAATCCTTCAAAGTTTTATGGCACATGATCAACTACAACCTGCTTGATCCTTCTCATTTGAACCAACCAACCCAACCAGCCTAACCCATTCCAACCCCCTCAACCGAACCAACTCCGTTTTGGCGTCACCGCACGCCTTCCACGCCGGATGCATGCGAAGCCGCGCCGGGTGGTCGACCTGCGCACGTGGCTCGGATGAAGGACCTACACTCCAGGGAGTGCCATACTTGGAGCCAATAATATGGCCCAATATATTGATCCAACATGTGCATATCTACAGGGATTACAGCTTACTGGATGTTTAAAGCATGTTCTATTATTCTATATTATTCTTAAGTGCAGGCTAGGACAAAACGTACAGGTCCACTGCTGGTAAGGTGGCTTCTTTTTTTCGAGTTGTGTTTGTTTTGACGCTTTGCTTGCTGTTCTGGTGGTGAAGACTCCAGAATTCATTGGCAAGTGTTCTCTTTTACCTGCTGATTTCAAGGAGACCCTGTACAGCAGACGACCAGATGCAAGCCCATGGCATTTGTACCACCCGACTTCACCGCCCAGGCGATGCCAAAGCTTGAACAAGACTCGCTCGGTGGGCGACCTCCGCCAGGTCCAGGGATGGAGAGACTGGTACCGATCAGTGATGAGGTGGTCACAGCCAGAAGAAACTGATGTCTCCTACAGGTTCCCAGCTTAGTCGTCCTTTGGCCAGGTATATTGATAAGAAAGCTGTCCTTTTTGTAGGTGTTGGGCGGATGTTGGGTCCTGGCCCTTAGTACCAGATTAGATTTTAGTTCCCTCGAGTCAATGCCCTGGCTGTTTCTACTCCTGGCAGCTTGCAGGCGGCCCAGGCTCAAAGCAGCGCTGGCAAAGGAAGCCGCAGCCCAGGTGCGAAGTAGCTGTCGTTGTTTCTCTCACCCCTGTGCTTTCTCACCAGCCCCGTTTATTCGATATGAGATGATAAGATATGGGTGTGATATGGTGTGATATGCCATTTAGGTTAATCCTTATGCTGGTGGATGATTCCCTGCTGTGCCCATGCAATCTTTGTTGCCTACACCAGGCGGAGGCGGCGGAAGTGCACAGCTGGAGCCATTGCAACCAGTCTGCAGGTTTTGACATCAGCTATCACTACCTCATTGGTTGGTGCAAAGACAGCGACAGAGAGCAGGGCATTGCATTTCAACAACTTGAATGTTTTACTCAACTTGTACTTGGGCTTGTGAGGTCCCACTCCCTTGGTGACTGAAGACATGATTGATTCCTTTGCAGAAAGGTGGATATACATGCTATGCCAGGGGACTGCAATTTGCTGAGTCTCATGGGCCCTTGGAACTCTTTGGGTGCTTCTTCAGAGCAATTCGACGGACAAACCACTCTGTAAAGTGGGCAGTCCTGAGAATCACCGTAGAAAATGAGTGAACCATCTCAGATCATCAGAAAAGGTGAACCATCTCAGCTATCACTACCTCATTAAATGGTGTAAAGACACAAGTGACACAAGTGCATCATTCTGGCGTGATCATCTCAGAGTTAAAATACTTTAAGCCCTCCACATCATTGGCTTCAGGAGCTCTTGCCCTCAAGCTCCAATGGAACGAGCTCCTGAAGCCTCCACATCGACTGACAAGTTTGACAGACTGACATGGTCCAGCCCTCACACCCAAAACCAAGATCCGAGCAGGTCAAACTCGCCTCAGCAAAAGCGCTGAATCCGGTGAAACATGGTGAAACGCTTTTGCTTGCATTCTCGGAAAGCTCATTCAGCTTCAATTGCTTCTGGCACAACTTCCGCACATCAGCTTGCCATGTCCAGATCTCCAAAGCGTCAACTGCTTCGTCGCACCTCCATAGCCCTGCTCTTGCTCCTCAGTGCCTTGCAGCGGCGCCACGGTGGCCCTTGGCCCTCCTCCCTGGCAGCACCGGTGACCGATGCAGAGCTGCTCAGCACGGCGGAGCAGCGGCACGTGCAGAGGGTGGTGTGGCGGAAGTCGATGGCCGCTATCGCGGAGGGGAAGATGCGGCCGGGGAAGGAGTTGGAATCTTTGGCTGGGATAGTTTTGGGATGTTTGGGGTGGCCCACCGATTGAGTGTGACTGCTTGTGCTTTTTTGTTCTTTAAGTGACTCAGATTCATCAACCTAGATCACAGCCGTTTTGACAAGCAGCCCTAGTTTAGTGAAATCTCTCGATGGTTTGACAGTTTGACATGTGTTTCTATATATGCCACTTCCCACGTCCAAGTGGCCGCAGGTCATGCAAAAAGCCGCTGCTAGTGACTGACATGAAACGGCCTAGCAGAATGGCCTAAGGAGCTGATCTCAGCCTTGGACCTGGGGACGATCCCGTGGAGCCACGTGCCACGACGTTTGAAGGAGACGCTGAGGGTTGGACAGTTTGAAGGGGACGAACCGGTTTCGAGGCTTAAACCGTACCAACCTTCTGGCTGACAGAGGAGCAATTTTGTAGTCCAGCGGACTATGTCACATTTCGATTACTGTACATAATAATTGACCAGCGAAATCAAGGTGGGAGCATTCATGAGCCGTACTATAGATGTTCTTAGCCTTGCTTACACAGCTCAGCTAGCTAACTCTTAACCTCTAGCTCTGTAGCTCCAAATGCTCCAGGCCCATGGGTCACCTGGATCTTCAAAGCCCCTGCAGGATCGTTTGGCCTTGCCCTTGGGCGACCGCGGCATCGACTCCTTGGCCTTGAACCTCACGGTGGCGGTGCAAGCCAAGGACTACACCAATGGCCTGGTGCCTTTGAATCGGTCACTGGGTGGACCTAATTCTTTTAGAGGGTGTTTCGCCACCTTGTCAGGCAAGGCGAAGGTCATGTGGTGATTTTTTTGGGGGCATGAAAATGGTTCTGCTTATGGAGCACCATGGTAGTGCGAATTGTAATGCATTAGGATGTTTTTCTCTAGGCAGCAAACCTTTCGATCAAATGTTTCAGACGTGACCACTCCAGCAATGTGAAAAGCTGATCAAAGAAAAAAACACGACAAACTCTCCTGCCAAAGAGGCTTATATATACAACTTGCCCTGCCAGGTGAGCCCTACAAACTTAGACTGTTGATTCATCCTCTCTCAACAATAGGTGGTCAGTAGAAGTGTTCTTAAGCCTGTAGGCGTTCCTCTGACAAAGCTAATGGACTGAGGCTGGCGACTTTCTTCTTCCTCTCCAAAGCCTCGCCGTTGAAACGCTTCGTCCAGCAGTTGGTGGTCGCCACCACTGCGGGCACACGACTGCCGGAGGACTGGCTGCGCTGGAGTGGCGCGCAGCACAGGAAGTATCGGGCGGAGGAGTTGGAGAAGTGGAGGCGCAAAGCGCTGTGACTTGGACTCATTGGCAGGGAAAAAAAACACGGAAACTACCTCTCTCGGGTCTTGACGTCATCGTGCTTGTTTTCCTTTTTGTTTTGTCCGTTGCTTGAAGCGCCGCCGCAAGATACACTGGCACCAAGGAAGCAGAAACCTCCCGAGGAGCCGTCGAGATCATTGAAGATCAAATGTGAGCGTTGGCCACATCAGATTGCCACAAGCCTGCACGTCCTGTTTTCTGTTGCATTTGTCCTTTAGTCAGCGCTTTGGGAGCACTGACACCGATTTGTCACGCTTGCTTGTTCCTTGCTGTGCCCTAGCCCTAGTCCTAAGCACCGCTCTTTTCGAAGCCCAGCCAGGAATGCTTAAAGCGCTGCAGAGCTTTTCTGGATGATAAGACCAAGCGAGACTTCTTCGTGCAGATCGCCACGGGTGGTGGAAAGAGTCTTGTGATGACAGACCTGTTGGCTGACTTGGGTGATGGAAAGCGGGCATGTGTGACCTGGAATTGGAGGTCAGGCGATTTGTTGCAGTTCCACTCGGAGTTTGTTGCGTTTCCCTTCAAAGTCGGCAACCCAAACAAAATTAGCAAACGTGTAGGATGCCTGGCCCCAAAGATTACGTTTATCGAGGATGTCTCATTTGTTATCACTTGCTTTAGGCTACTTCTGTCAAGTCGAATCTGCAGTAATTCCTTGCACTTCCAAGGTGATTGTGCCAAAGCTGGATCTCATGGAACAGTTCGCACAGATATTGGAGAAGAGACTCCCAGATCGTCAGGTGTCCCGGGTAGGCACCGGATTTCCGGCAAACCTGTCAGCAGAGGTTTTCCTGTGCGTTCGCAACTCGGCCTGGCAGCTGGAGAATCTGACCCTTGACTTGCTACTGCTTGATGAGGCTCACCACTATGAACCTTTGTCAGGACTGACTTGATGAAGTCATACAGTACTGCTTGTTGAGTTGTCGGGCTGTCCTTGTTTTCCACCCAAGTTTATATAGTTTCTTCCATTTTGTCAGCGGTGTGATCCACTCTATACGCATTGATGTACAACCCAAACCTCCATTGGCCAAGCAACTCAACAAGTCGGAGGAAATCCTGATTCGCCAGCAGAAGATGCCAACCTCACCGGTGGAATCCATGCCCGGCGCGTTCTGTCTCTCCATACGCCCAAGCGCATCTACTTCAGCGCGACGCTGCGGAATGAGCCGGACTTCGACTTCGGCCTGCGGGCGACGATCGAAGCTGGGGTGATCGAGGATTACACGGTGATGGTACCCGTGCTGACTGAAGGAGATCCTCGACCTAGTTTGGTAGAACTGATTAAGGACATGTCTCCTGGACTGTGCTTGCAATAGTAGTTTTCTCCATGCTTTTTTTAAAATGTGCATTGTGGGGATGTTCCGTTCTTGGTTGCCGCATTGTTGTTGCACCTGGATTAGTTGTGAATGCTATGAGCATGACATGATCAATCACGGTCTAAATTGTGTGTTTGAATATTTTGAGCTGCATGCTGCATTGGCGAGATTTGGCTACCAGAGGCCTTTGGCGAGGAAGATCCTTGCCTTTTGCAACACCGTCCATGAGGCTCTAGAATTTACCGCCCTGTTGTCCCATGCTGGCATTGCCGTTGCCCACTACAATGCACACACAGCGGCATCAGAGCGGCAAGAAATTTTGAATAGCTTCCAGCGCAGAGAAGCCTCTGGTGGAATCCGGGTTCTGGTGACGGTTGCTCGCTTTCGAAGAGCAAACATGTTGTCAATGTTTGGGATTTCATTAGTTTTGTGGGAGGCAGCATTAATCCACACAGCGGCACTAATTTAGCTACTTGCCGAGCACTGATTGAGGTTGACGTCTTGAGCGAAGGGGTGGATCTCCCGGCTGCGGACACGTGTTTGTTTGTGGCGCCACGCAGGGGCATCAGACTGCAGCAGTGTGTGGGAAGAGTGCTGCGGAAACATCCAAACAAAGTGGATGCATCCTCGGCATGTTTGGGGGGATTGTGTTTCAGAGGGAGCTATTATGTATTTTATGAGGTTGTCTAATGTTGAAAGGTACACAGCATATTTGATCCTTTTGGCGACTGTTTCTTCTAAGGCCTTGGTGATTGCTCCTCCCATGGTGCAATGTGCCAACAGCACCATGTTGGAAGATGCAGAGCTGAGTCGCTTACTGAGCGACCTTGCGAGTGCAGATCCGGTGTTTCAGGAGTCCTTGCAAGGGACAGCAGGGACACCCAATGGACGGGTCGATGTGTTGGCGGCATCGGACATGCAGCCCATGCAGGTGCAGGGTATGTTGGAGGCCGCGGCTGAGATCTTGCGAGTACATGTGTTTCCCAAGGTTTTGGCAGGCTGTGATCAGCAGTGGCGTTGGCAGCAGGGAGTCCAAGAGCTTCGAGCCTTTAAGGACGCGCATGGTCATGCAAGGGTGCCATCGAGGCATGTTGCGGCAAGCGGGTTCAAGCTCGGACACTGGGCAAATACCCAGCGCAAAGCCAAATCCACGCGGAATCTCACTGAAAAGCAGGTGAAGCTGCTTGAAGAGCTGGGCTTTGTTTGGAGTTTGCTAGACTGGAAAAGAGAACACATGTTGCGAAAGCTGGCAATCTACCAATGTCAGCATGGTCATGTCAATGTGCCGCAACGGTACGTAACAGATGACGACCTCAAGCTCGGGCAATGGGTGAATAATATGCGTAAATCCCAGGGCAAGAAGCTTAATAGAGAGCAGGTGAAGCTTGTTGAAAAGCTTGGTTTCCTTTGGAATGTGCATGACTTAAATTGGAGAGACATGTTCCAAAGACTGGCAACCTACAATTCTGAGCATGGAGATGTCAAAGTGCCGCGAAAGTATTTAACCGATGATGGATTCAAACTTGGATGCTGGGTGGCAACTCAGCGCACAAACAAGTCCAAAGGAAAACTCACCAAGCAGCAAGTGAAGCAGCTTGAAGAGCTGGGCTTTGTTTGGAATGTGCTTGCTGAGCA